AATCGAAGTTTGAGCAGCTGCTGTACTTGCCACAGGGGTAGCTGCGCTGTTCATTGCAGCCAAAGTTTGAGTAGCGACTGTACTTGTCACTGGGGGTGGTGAAGCTGCTGTGCTTCGAGCTGGAGTAGCTGCACTGACTGTTGCTTTGCCCTCAGATCTGCCGACATTCTTTTCCTTTTGAAGGTGCTGGATAGTGTTGAACAAGGCCCTGTGAGCATAGGCCAAGCCCCAGCACATTGCCATGATTTGTCCGTCTCTGGTATGGCCAGAATGACCACACACCTCATTTAAGTGTTTTACTAATTCTTCTGGATTTTGCAGTTGTTAGGTAGTGAAATTCCAAAGTACTGGAGGGGCCCACTGACCTAGATACTTGCCCATGCTATCCCACACACCCTGCCACTCATGGCTGTCCAGCCTCAGGGAAAATCTCTTGGTCCTCCTACATCGTCGTTTGACCCCAGACAAGACCCAAACCTGACTCTGCTTAACTCTTGAAATCAGTCGTGGGCAAAACACACTCTGTATGCATGCTAGCATGGTGATTCCCATCACGATCAGCAAACAAGTCTCAACAGCATTAAAAGGCCATTCAAAAACTTCAAAACTCTCAAATGTAAATGGTCTGGGGGGAGGACTGGGAGGGTAAAAGGATGTCTCCTTCCCAGGTTGAGCACCTGAGAAGGAGAAAAAAGATGTGTAATTGCTAAGCACTCCTATTATATACCTCCCAAAGTATAAAGGTGGTGACCACACTGGGAACATAAGCCAGATCAGTTTCATGATCAATGATTCTATTGTATTACAAGTCATTACCATAAAGTACAATGAGACAAAAACCTTAGCCCAAGCCCCACACTTGAAAAACACTAATACAGCAAATACCAGATGGAAGTAAGATATGATATACTGAAACTGTGAGATCAAGAGGAACAACCTTGAGAGCCAATAAATCAGCATTGTGACAAGTGACTATTAATCCGGTCAGATCTGTTGTTATCTCAACCCCTCATGCCCCACGTTGGGCGCCAAAAAGAACTGTCGTCATTTAAACCCAGTCAGGCAACTTGTTCACTCACTCCCAGTGAGTGGTGCCGGGCTGACAACAATCAAGGCTCCCCCCCACCGAGGCTCTCCCCTTCCGCGCTCCCGAAGGAAAGGGGAGGAGGATCGAAAGGGTGCAACTCCTACGGGTTGAGACAAGAACAGTCCAGCAACCAATGTACAACACAAATCACCACCGCTACTACCAACGACAACAGTGATAAGAGAAAACAACAAGGGAAGAGAATACAATACCACTCCCCAAGAAACGAGTCCCACCCAGAAGCCCATGTCCTTCCGGGTAACTCCCAGTTACCCCCCACCACGAGCATGACGTGCTGTGGTATGGAATACCCCCTTGGCTAGCCCGGGTCAGGCACCCCATCTCTGCTTCCTCACAGCTTCCCCTCCTCCCTGGCAGAGCATGAGCCTCACAAAGTCCTTGGTCAGGGTAAACATCACTTAGCAACAACTGAAAACATTGGTTTCACCAACACTGTTCCCAGGCTGGAAGTCAAAACACAGCACTGCACCAGCTACCAAGAAGGAGAAAAATGACTGCTACTGCTGAACCCAGGACACAGTGTGAAGAACACTATGTGCATTGTGCATGTGTGTAAATTAAAATTGAGGACAACTTTTGCAGATGCTGACACGAGGCTCTTCTGGACTGCCTTATTTCAACACAGTTCGAATTGCAGAGCTTCCCAAATCCATGAAATATGTGAGTTCCCTTAGAGAGAAGGTACAGGAGTTAAACCCAGAGTCAGTAGAACAAGGTGTCAGGTGCTGGTGGGTTTTGTGCAACCTTAGCAGCCCTGCTGGGACTCGTGGCATTTGCATCAGGCAGGTCCCCAAGTGCAGCCACCAGCGCATTTGGCGCCATGTTCACAGGTGCTGTGCCTGCTCTTGGCTGCTGTGACCTGCCAGCAGCTGCTCTCCTGCGAGTGTGGTGAGGAAGGAGAGTAGTATTTGGGTGTCCCTTTGGGCTACGAAAAAGGGGATTGTTTAGGTGATGGGGACCCCATCCCTGCTGTGGTTCAGCTCCCCCCCTCAGCCAAAGGAAGAAACAATGGAGTGTCTGGGAAGCCAATGCACAGAGCACACACACAGCCATAGCCTCTCCTGGAGCACCACAGGGCTGGAAGCAGGCATTTTTTTTCCATGTGGAACATGCACCCAGAGCTGCCGTGGTTTCCCTGGGAAGCATGGAGTGAGTGGTTGGGTTTTGCCTGATGTGTACCTGCCTGCAGGCAGGTACACCTGCACCATGGGCAGGGAAACCTGTGGCTTCCCAAATCTGGTGCGAGGATTTCCAGGCTCCAGCCCACAGCCCACGGGGTAGAGTAAAAAACGGAGCATTCTGTGCTGTGGGAAGAAAAACAGCAGAGTGGTAAGAAGTTAGGAGGAAGGGCGCAGCAGCCTCCACCAGCTGAGGCTGCAGCAGCGCTCTGAATCCAGCGACTTGCTCATGTGAACAAAGAAATAAAACCACTAATGTAAATTATGTCAAGGCTCAGGTTAATGTTCCTCTGCAATATAATGTGATGCAGAAATTGGCACCTCTAGCTGAGAGGATGCTGTTGTGCCTGGAAGCTGGGACAGTGTTCCTGCGTGCCCACAAGCAGAGGGCTAGGGGTTCTGCACAACAGCTGTGGGCTCAGGTGGAATGCAGCTCGCTTTCCGTCTTCAGGCTGATCCTGACATCAGCGGCCAGAGGGCGCTGCCATGCTGAAGTGCTGGTTGGAGGCCGCCAGGGGTGCCGTGGTGCAAGGGGTGTGTTATGCAGCAGTGCCTTCACCAGGGGCGCAGCCAGGGGGTGGCACGCAGAGCCCACTTCTCTCAATGCCGAGATCAACTCTCAGGGGCCACTGCAGCGACAAGGCTCCACTGTATAGCGGATGCCAGGGGTTGCTGCAATCCAAGAGATGAAGACAGCACACAGAGCATACAAGCAGCAGAGCCAAAAGCAACAGCGGAATTGAGTGACAACCATCCGGGGATGGAGCCTCGGCTCAGCCAGATGCATCTTCAGAGCTGCTAGACAACGGACGTGCGCGTTGAGTACCCAGCGACAAGTGGGGATGGAAGGGCTGACACGCGTTTCTGCCAGTCCTGAGACAGGCCACCAGGGGCTGTTTAGGTGCTGAGTCACTGATGTGCCGCATGGCAACCGCCAGGGGTCGACGTGGTGCCAAAGTGCTGAAGTGCTGCGTGGCTGCCGGCAGGGGGCGGTGAAGTGCCTAGTCCCTGCTGTGCTGCGTGGCGGCCGCCAGGGGGGGCGCTGAGATACTGAGTCGCAGATGTGCGGCATGGCGGTCTCCAGGGGGTGTTGCGGTGCGAGGTATGTTCTGTGCGTTGACCGCCATGGGGCGCTACCTTTTTAGTGGTATGAGCAGCGCGCAGTGGAGCCGTAAGAGGCAGGCGGCGGTGGGGAGGCGGAGTGTGAACCCGAGAGCCTCAGCCCCCCCTGTGCCCATTCTCCGGGTAGCCAGATCCTTCGGATGGCCAGACCAGGGACGTTCGTGGTGAATGCCCGGCAACAGGCGCGTGATGGAGGGAGCCAGTGTGTCAGTCCCGAGTGCAGTCGCCAGGAGGTACTGAGCCGTCGAGTCTCTAATGTGCTGAGTGTCGGCCGTAAGGGGGCGCTGAGGTGCCGAGTCGCTGTTGTGCTGCGGTGGCCGCCAGGTGGAGCTCATTTGCCGCGGTACTGATGTGTTGACGCGGGGCCACCAGATAAATGTTTACGACCTGCTTGACAAGGGGCGCCGTGGGGCAAGCAATGCTTTATGTCGCGGCTTCTCCACTAGGGGGGCGCCATTGCAGGAGGGGCAGTACCCTGTGCTTCCAGTCGGAGATGAACCGTAAGGGGGCTGTTAAAAGGCATTGAAATGCTACTTGGAGGCCTCCAGGGGGCGCTACCGTGTTAGTGGTGTGGACAGCACAGAATGGAGCCGCGGCGAGGGAGGCAGAGCAAACTGGGAACCCATAGCGCCTCAGACCCACTATATGCCAGACCAGGGTGGCACAGCGAATCGGTACTTCGGCGCCTTCTGGCGACCACCACGGAGAACTTCCGTGAACCAACACCACAGCGCCCTCTAGCTGCTGGAACGCAGCAGCCAGCTGCATTACCACCGCGCGCTACTGTCCTTGGCAGCCGACCGGACTGCACCACCAGGACCAGAGCGCCGCAGCGTCCCCTGGCGGCCGCTACGCAGCACTTCAGAGTTTTAAATCCGCAGTACCCCCTGGCGGTCTACATGCAGCACATCAGCCACTCGGCTCCGCGCTGTCGCTAGCGGCTGCCACATTACACATTGGCACTGCAGCGCCCCCTGGCTGCCTCCACGCAGCACATCAGCAACTTGGCACTTCAGCGCCCCCTGGCGGCCCCCACTTCAGAGACTTGGCACCTCAGTGCTGCCTGGCGGTCGACAGAAGCACGCGCTGCCCCCCCATGCCCTTCGGCCGTGGTTGGGTACTCACTGCGCACATCCCTGGTCTGGCCACCCGGAGGATGTGCATGTCAGGGCTGAGGCTCTCAGGTTTCCCACTCCATTCCACCACCACCACTGCAGCTACTCGCTTTACTGCTGACATGGTAGTGGCCGGCCCTTGGAGCTCCCCAGGGGAGTGCCGAGTTGCCGAGTCGCTGATGTGTTGCGTGTTGATCGCCAGGGGGCGCCGAGAAGCCCAGTATCTGAAGTGTTGTGTGTTGACCGCCAGGGGCGCCGTGGTTCAAGGGGTGCGCTATGCTGCGGTGTCTCCACTAAGGGGCGCCATGGCGACAGGGGGCAGAGGGCGCGCCCTGTGCTGCCAATGCTAAGATCGACCGTCAGGAGGCGCTACGGCGACAAGGCATTGAAATGCTGCGTGGCGGGGGTCAGGGCGTGCAGCCGTGTTAGCGGTACGGGTAGCGCTCGGCGGCGGCGGGGTTGGAGTGGGAGCCCCGAGAGGTTCGGCTCTGCCCTGCCTGGGGCCTCCGGGCTGCCAGACCAGCGGCGTGCGCGGTGAGTGCCCGGCAGCGGTTTCTTGGGGGGTGCCCGTAGGGGCAGCACTGACCGGGCGTGTTGTCGGCGCTGCCTGCCTGGCTGGGGTGGGGGAGCCACTTCTGCCGGGCCCGGACAGAAGGAGCGAGCTGCCGCCTCGGGGCCCTGCCGGGGACCCAGCTCTGCAGGGGTTAACATTCCCTCTCCACAGAGAGCCGGCCAGGTTGAGAACCCGTGGGCTGTGTCTACGTGTGTTTTCTAAACGTGGTGGTGTTTGCCCAGACCCGGCTTGCAAGATCTGTGGAAGGGTTGTCATCCACAGCTGTGCTGAAGGCGGAGCTCTCCCCATCTCAGCCTTCCAGCTGCACCGGTGTCCTGGGTTCAGCAGTAGCAGTCATGTTTCTCCTTCTTGGTAGCTGGTGCAGTGCAGTGTTTTGACTTTCGGCCTGGGAACAGAACTGATAGTGATGTTTTGGTTTGGCCAAGGACTTTGTGAGCCTCATGCTCTGCCAGGGAGGAGGGGAAGCCAGGAGGAAGCAGAGACAGGACACCTGACCCAAACTGACCAAAGAGGTATTCCATACCACAGCACATCATGCCCAGGAGGTAACTGGGAGTTAGCCGGAAGGGCTGGGAGACTGCAGGGTTTGAGGAGGTATCGGTCGGTGCTTGGTCGGGCTGAGGGGGGGCGAGTTATCGGTCGGCTGGTGGTGAGATGATGTATTCTCTTCCCTTGTTATTTCCTTTATCATTATTATCACTGGTGGTAGCAGTAGTGATTTGTGTTATACCTTAGTTGCTAAACTGTTCTTATCTCAACCCGTGGGAGTTGCATTCTTTTTGACTCTCCTCTCCGTCCCTCCGGGAGTAGGGGGAGGGAAAGAAGGGGGTGAGTGAGTGAACGAGTTACCTGACTGGGTTTAAACGACGACAACCGGCAACAGTGGGAAAACCTCCAGAAAGGTGTCCCGGTTGTCGGTGCTTCCCGGGGAACATCGGGGCGAGCCTCGTTAGTGGGACCCGCCCAGTTACTGCCTCCGAGCGCACCGGTGGAGGCAGCGTCGCTGCGGGGGGACTAGGGGGGAACTCAGGGGCAAGTCGGGACAGGGGAACCTGTGGGGTCCCCCAGCCCGGAACGGGGCGAGAAGGAGACAAATCCTCTGCTCTAGCCCTGGTCCCAGGAGGCGCATCCCGAGGAGGTCCTGAGGCTCCTGATTCACCTGGGAAGCTTCAGGTATGCCGAAGGGGTAGAACTGTCATCCCGCATGGGCGAAATAAAAAGAGGGGAGGGAGGTTACGGGCACGTGGCAGGTGTAGTGGCCGACAGGGCTCAGTTCCAGCACTTTAATCCCTTGAAAGCGGGGTTTGCATTCACGAATGTTCTTTTTCTGCCTACAGGGAGCTAACAAGGGAGGAGCACAGAAGTCCCAGCTGCCAACAGCAGCCTCTACACGGCCAAGGTTGGGGATGGCCGGGGGACAGTGGGGATGTCGCTGAACGTCAGGAGAATAAAACTCCTCAATGTTACACCAATGTAACATTAAGAAGCAGTCACTTCCTCATTGCAGCACCAGATGCGAGGTGGGATTTCCATAAATCAAGCACACCTAATGCTGATATCTTTCTTACATTTATACGCAAAATTTACAGGGTTACTCCCAGTTACAATGATTGGTTAGCGATTTGCACACAATTATATCTGCAGTGATACTCTCTTCTGCTATTATGTTTGCATGGGTCTTCACTTGGTCAAGAGTCTTCTTGATCTGTTGGTGTGCTTTTAGTATTATAATGAAAGCAGTTTACATCAGGTCACCTTAAAAGTAAGTTTTGCCAAGTTGGCCGGCTATATTTCTACCTTGCCGGGTTATCAAATAACTCATCCTATATATAATAGGCCCTAGATGCTTTGGTTATGCTCTGGAGAGTAAGGACTAAGGTTAGCATGTAACAGAGAACAGGGGCTTCAAGTAACACAGCATCCTGTGCTAGCATAAAGGCAAACTTCTTAGACTAAGATATTCCTATAGATAACTATTCCACAAACACAAAACAGAAAGATTCAGTAAAACTTCAGATAATCTGCAACAGCGATATCCTGGCTGAGCTCCTTGCCCTTCCAACCCCTGCAGTGATTTGAGGAGGGGCGTTCACACAAGGCTCTCCTGGCAACAGGGCAAACCAAGAGACTGTCTGCCTCTTGGCTGCGGTGTGGGCTGGGAGCTCCTGCTCAAAGAGCTTCATCCTCTTGGCTGTGACACTGCAGCCACTTCCTCATGATGGGCTTTTCAGTGCAGGCAATGTCACAGGGGAGGAGCAGAGCAGCAGAAGGGCTCAGCCTGGGCTAAGGCAAGGAGCTATGGCCCTGACATGGGCAGCACCAGGGAACACTGATACGGCAGGAAGTGTCTGGTGAGTGCTCTGAAGCAGGTGGGTGGCCATGCTGTGCTCTGGGGGCGTCAGGCAGGTGGGAACACCCCAAACACAGGTAAGCCAAAGAAGCTGTGCCTGGCAGTGCTTGAGGAGGAAAATGTATCATGCTTGTGGCTACTGGCATCGGTACCAGTCCTGTTGTAGGGTAGTCTGGGACTAACACTGGTCCCAGGCAGCAGCAGGGTAGGGCCTGTGAGTGCATCCCACATCTCTGCTGTGCCTGGCGGTTGCCTGGGATGAGGCATTGTTTCTGGTTGTGTTGAGTGCCCTGCCTGTTACCTGACATTAGCAGGATGTGAAGCACAGCCTGCAGCTGCCCCAGTCCCACTCCAGGGCAGGATGGCAGGGGAATGCTGTGTCAGCCAGACCTCAGCCCCAGGATTGCTCAGTGGTGTTTGGTGCCTGAAATGCTCCTCCCTGAGCAGAGGGGTTTTGGCAAGCTGTGCATTCTCACCTGCTCTGTAGGGGAGCAATGTGTTTTTTCCAGGTGAGCCTTGAGCTCTTCAGTTGCTGCTTCTGCCTCCCCATGTCAGTGGTGGGCAGCCTCTACCAAAAGCAAGGGGTGGGAGGGAGGGAAGGGTTGCCCTTGCCCTGGACAGGGGCAGGTATCTCCCACGGGTTATGTGGGGCCATGCTGTGCACCCCAGGAGCTCTGACTGAGCAGTTTTGTTCACCTTTCACAGGTACAGAGGAGATGGCCACACTGCCATGCCCATACCTGCCTGCCTGCTGCAGATCTGTCCTCGGGAATGAAACTAGAAGAGACCCCTCTGTGCAGAGAGAGGCACTTGGCATAGATTTAATCCCTGAGAGAAGAGAGGGCTCCCTGCTGCTCAGAGCTCCTTGTTGAAGACAGTTCTGCCTGCAGCTGCCTCGGATTACAGGTCTGGCAGATGGAGACCTCAGCTCCTTACAGCTCCAGGTAATTTCAACTCCAGCCATGGGATGTTCCTGCTAATAGTCACTCCTTCCTGTTACAGGTCAGCTTGGCTCTCCCTCGTGGAGGCTACATAAAGCAGATGCTGACCTGTTCAGCCTGTGCTAGGTGTGCAGTCCTGGCTGACAGACATCACAGCTCCAGCCTGTTCAGCCTGTGCTAGGTGTGCAGTCCTGGCTGACAGACATCACAGCTCCAGCTGTAGGGCAGGTCCAATGACTGGGCACTCCAGATAAGAGATGTTCCTGCTTTCTTACAGCTCCAGCTGACAGGCTGTCCAGCATATTACTGCTCAGGGGATTTGAAGCCCCAGGTAACAGCAATTCCTGCTGCTTGTTCTGGTACAGCTTTTTGAAACTCCAGTTCTGGCTACACAATGCTCCTGCTGATGGACACTCCCACTGGGGAAGTTAAGCTGCTTCTTGTTGCCAGCTTTGACTTAATAAATGCACCTTCCTGTTACAAGCCAGTTAAAGCTCCAGCTGATTGCAGCAATCTGGGCTCTTGGCCAGGTTGTACATCAGTCACTGTCATAACTTGTATATGACTGTAAATTGTCATACTTGTATGTTGTATATTATTAAGTAACTGTTCCAGTGGTTGTACATGCCCTGAATAAAGAGTTGGGCATGTGAAGAGAGGGGGAAAAGGTGCTTTTACCTCAGAGACTCTCTATCTTGGACATTGAATTTGGTCTGGTGCATGGCAGTGTCCGCAACTTTGGGAGCCAGTGTGACCAGATCCCCACCAGAGGGTCCATGCACCTGCCTACCCCCTTCCCAAATACACAGATCCATGTACCCTCCCTCCACCCCCCTTTTTCCCACCTACCCAAAATTCCCACTGAGCTTCTGTTTTGGAGGTTGAAAACAGCCAACAGCCTCTGTTTCCAAGTCCCAAAAATGCAGCACTTAAGCACCACAAGGATTTAGCCTGCATTTTTGAATGCTAAAAATGCATGACTGATTTAGGTGTGGGTTTTGGTTTGTTGGATTTTTGGGGTTGTGGTGGTTTTTTTTTTGTTTTTTTTTGTTTGTTTGTTTGTTTGTTTGTTTTTTGGTGGGGGGGAGAGGTTATTCCTCTGAGTTCCAGAAACACAGGGCTCTGCTGCAGAGGCCCAAAACTGCAGCATTCAGTCCATTCTCCAAAGATGAAAACATGGGACATAGACACTGTTTTCAAGTATTGAAAATGCATACCTTTAAGAGTTTCAAGCCTTGAGAGCCTGAATGCTGCACTTTGGAGCTCATAAAAGAACTGTCTTCGGTTCCCCTATGTGATGTGACAGGGAGATGGAGAGTGTAGCCCACCCCCAGCCCAGGGGCCCCAGCTGCAATTCTGGGGAGTGCTTGGGAACTGGGGTGAAGGCACCCTCCTTGCAGGGAGGGTCCCTGTAGGGCAGTCTCAGCACATGTAGGGATTTACTTTACTGTACTTTATTTCACCAGCACCACCGGCCCTGCTCCGTGGGGCACAGCAGCTGCAGATCCCTCATGGAGCCTTGCCCAGGCATCCCTGGAACACAGCCCGGCTGGACAAGGAAGGATACAGCCCCTTCCAGAGGAACGTACCCCCCTCACCTCCTCGAGGGGGAACCTCCTCCCGGAGAGCCCCCAGCGGCAGCAGCCGGAGCCCTTTCCCGCCCGTGCTTTCTCCGGGACCGCCCGGCGCCGCAGGAGGCCGCACAGGCCGCCGCTGCCTGACCCACGGCGGAGCGGCAGAGACCGCCCAGCCGCAGCAGGGGGCAACCGGGGAAGGGACGGGGCTGCTTCTGTCTTCCTGCGGCTGCCCCGGGTCAGCGCCCCGTCCGGGGCCGCTGCGGTCTCCACCGCCCGGGGAGGCTCCGACCCTCGGAAGAGGATTTCCACGGCCTCGGCCCAGGAACACGCTCGCGGTCCCTCACCTGCTCTGGTGCAGCTCCCGCTGTCCCCCGGCGCGGAGCTGAGCACAGACAGACGTGCGGCCGCTGCCGCTGCTCCTTTGCCTCGCGCAGGCGCCCCGGCCCGGTACCGACACCTTCCTCGTACCGGCACGGTACCGGTGCCACAGCAGTCAGCCCTGTTCCCCCAGCTGGGACGCTGTAGGGGTGCATGAGCCCGGCCTCGCCGGTGGCTTCCGCGGCCGATCCCTCCCTGGGCACCCCGGATTGGACCCTGACCCTCCCCAGGGAAGCGCACAACCCAGAGTCTCGAACCTGAACCGCCCGTAGCCCTCCCTCCCTGCCGCACCAAAGGAAGGGGCCCGGCAGCTGTCGTCCCGAAGCCGCCTCCTGGGGGTCGTAGACTGTCGGGGTGCTCACGGCCCTGAAGGGGAGCCTGGGGGTTTCCCGCGGCAGTCCTGGCTGCCGTGTCTTCTGCAGCCCCGGCCGCTGCCCACCAACGCGTGTGCACAGCACCAGCGCCAACGTTCCCTTGGAAACCCGGCAGGGCAGGCAGGGAACGAAGTGAGAGAAGGCGTTAATTAAGTGTTCAGAGGAAGATGCATCTTGGCTAGAGCTGGGAAAGCTCAGCCGCTTGGGGGATGTTCACCCATTCACGCTTACTCACCCAGGGAGTAGACAGGTCGCTCTGAAATGACACAGCCCTGGCTTCATGCCTGAGGACTACAAGCAAACTGCCTTTCCCACCCGTTTTCAAGCCCCACACTTGCTGGCCACACTAGCAAACCCAGTCTCAGTGACAGAAGCTCCAGGCCTGCTGAGCTACAGCAAAATTGTGGTAAGAGTGGCCAGAGGCCACCCCCAGGTCTTCTCCCTGGGGAATGGTGCTTCAGCAGGGCACGAGTCCTGGAGAAAGCCATGTGAAGAGGTGTCCCCTGTGCTCGTCACAGGCAACCAGAGCAGGAATCATCTCACGGTGGTCAGAGCACCCTGCACGTCCTGTGTACCAAGCCAACATGTGAGAAAGACTCACGCCTTGTGAGGCTGAGAATGACCTGAGCAGAGTCTCCTCATCACAGCCCAGGGATGAGGGAGCTCGACCACAGCTCATCTGGGGACACTGATTCGGAGAAGACTCCAGGAACAAACTGGCCCACAGTTGAGAAGCAGGTATTCTTTATTGCAGCGCCAGCAGACACTGGGGTTAGCTCCTCCTAACGTGTGTCCTCGTACTGCTACACAGACCGTCCCTTTATAATTATTGGGCATACATATTCATTATGTACATACATGCATGCATATTCATGAGGCTATGAATTACATCCTTTTCCAGAAAGTTTCCCTGCATGTGTACAAAAATGTAGTGGTGGTCTCTGAGGATCGTTTACTTCTTCCAACAATCCTCATCACTTCTGGCAGCCTTTGAAGCACACACAGCAGATAATGCTTACACAAGCTTAACTGGTTTGGTAACACTGCAGACATAGCAATCATCCTGTCCTTCTACTTATCAGTTACTTTAGCTGCAGCCCATCCTGGACACCTGCTAGTCCCAGATACTCCCCATCCACAGATCCTGTTTTTCTATCCTGTTTTTCTTACACTTATTTTTGTACTAAGGTCATAAGGACCTAAAACTATGTCAGCTACAACGGTTTATTTTATACAAGAATTCTCAGTATGTTCTCTAGCTGCACTCTACTTCTGTGAAACATGCACCTCAATTAGGTGCAACAAGCCATTAAACTTAACGTTACTTAAAACTGATTCTACTTACTTACAAAGGTTTATATTTCATTTTGTCATTTTGTTCCTTCTTGTCTCAACAGGGATGGTCCACAACCCCTAAAATCCTGAAACTGGGATCTCCTAGAGACCCATGCGCAACAGAAACCAAAGCAATCATCAAGCTAACACTAACAAAAGAAGAAATACAAGCAAACAGACAGACCCAAACCACAATAAACAAAGGCTAGAAGTAAAAATATGTCTCTTCAGACTAAACAAATCAGTGTTTGGCCCCATGGAAATGCTGCCTTCCCAGTGCCCCAGCTGCACCAGTTAAATTACCTCAGCCTCATGGGCAGTCCAAAGCTCCCTCCATGTTAAGGGAGTGTGGCAGGGCCACCTGCAAGGGCCTTCTGCAGTGGGCACCAGGAGGGCCAGGCAGGGCACCTGGCAGAGAGGAGACATGGGAGGCAAGGCCACAGCAGGTAACAGTTGTGATCTGGGCAACTCCATCCTCCTGGAGGAAGAAAGTTTCTCCATGAAAAAAATAGAAGTAAACCCAACTGGAGCATTCTGTCCCTCCAGGAGATGAGGGACTGAATGAGGGAAATGAGGAGGCTGAAGAGCTGCCTCAGTGCTATGAGCGAATGTGACCTGGGCCTGGGCAAGGAGGCCTAGCTCAGGAGCCCATGCTGTTTGCTGCACCTGCAGGGATGTCTGTCACTTGTGTGTCCCTCAAGAAAACAGCTTTCCCCAAGGCTGAGCTGGAGGACTGGTAGCCACTCAAAGAGTGACAGCCTCCAGGCTCTGCCCCATGAACACCACTGCCAAGGTGGCACGGGTGACCTGAAGAAAACAGTAAAAACTGTCAGTGAAACTAAGGCCTTTTGCACCAGCTCCTGTCTGCCTGTGCAGCTTTTGATGTTTGCTGTTCATTCTTGTGCAACAGCCCTGCAGGCTACGAGATACAAACTGCCTTAGAGGGGAGGAAAATAAAATCAGGTTTTGGCTAAGTGGGTGAAGAGGAGCATAAGACTTTGAAGACTTTTTCCTTTTTTCACAATCCTGAGTTTGTCATTACAAAACCTTCAGATATCCACATCCTCAGATGGAAAACCAATGCCTTCCATTGTAACATACAAATTTCATTTTTCAAATTAGTTTTCTGCTTCTGACATTATTGGAGTAATCATTCAGCTAAAATCTGAAGTCATAATTTTGTCTAGGATTTGGATAAGCATAACAAATGTCCCTTACAGTTGGCATATTAGAAATGTAAAGACAGTCTGAGTTTTGAAATTGCTATATTTATTGAACTAACCTCCCACTGTTAAACTAAGCTGATCACTTATGCCATCAGATTTCTGCATAGGGCCCTTCAGGCTAGAATATCATGGAATGAAAAGATTTTGAACATTTTTTTGTTATTACTTCTTTCTCTTCCATCCATTAGGTGTTAAAATGAGACATCTTAGCTGGTTTAAGCAGGCAGTTATGCTGCAAGATGATCTGTTTGGCTGGCCACAGGGATTCTACCAGGAAGGATCCTACTCCAACTACAGAAAAGACCAGTGATCTGTTAGAGTGCAGCACTGGTGAGACAAGATGTAACAACCTGTTGAGCCTTTATGAACTTACTTTATCCTTTGAAGTCTTAGCAAGCATGCTGTGACATTTTGTGCCTTACAGGTACGGCTCTCAACAACAGGCTTGGTTCTTGAATTGACATAACTGTTTCTCACAGCAATTACTGTTTCTATTTTCTCCCTCTTCAGATGGCTGTGTTGATGAATATCATAGGTGGGAATCATGTCAAACTAGCACAGCAGTTGTGAAGTCTTTGAAAAATAACCTGTGTCAGCCTATCTTTTACGATACCAAGCTTCTAAGTTTACCCATGTAATATTATACACTTCTACCTAAATGACTGGCACTTTGGGTCAGAAAAATATGTCTTAATACTGTTAAAAAACATTTTGAACTTCATACCATCATAGAATAGACTTCTTCAGGCTCAACCACCACTGACTTCTCATATAAGCTGTAACTCAACGTAGTAGCTACTATGCTGTCTTTAGATGTGTCTTTAGAGGCGTCTTTAGAGGCATCTCTGTAGAGTTCAAGAGCTGAGTACTGGCATGGAGCTATGAAAGGCTGAAGTCCTGCATGGCAGAGGCTGTAAGGTGCATACCTCCTAATGAGGGACTACCACTGTCACACTGAAATGTACAATAACTGCTACTACTCAGAAAGGATAACACAAGCCTGTCTGCATTTATTTTTTGTATTTCAAAATAATTTATTGCTTTACATTTATTTGACCAAGTGTTTTGTTTCTAAATATTGATTAAATACCAATTTTGAAAAAATAATTGGTTTTAGGTTCTCACTCACATTGATTTCCTTAACTTGCTCTCCCTGACAATCTTTCCATCCAGAACTACAATATGTTGCGTACGAACTAAGCTTCACATTGCTTAGCAGGTCTAAAGTATTGCCATAAAACAACAGATTTTCTGTCTGCAGTCACTGAACAAACAAATAAACATTCCTATATTGTATCCTGTAAAAATTTTGCAGAAAACTCCTCTTAGGAATAAAGAGGGCTACTAAAGAATAAGCAAATGGCTTCAGAAACAGTCTGAATGTGTCTGATTTCTTCACAGGCTAAGTCTGCAGGGTTTGTTTTATTTTTAAAGGCATACTCATTTAAGTAATGTATTTTATAGGATTTTATACCTATTGCCTTTCCCTTGCAAATAGACTTCTCCTGTATGACTAGTCTATGGTCTTCTTGATCACTGTAGGGGTGAATTAGTTTCTCCCATTTTGGAAGAAAATCCTGCAACTTTGAAACCAGCCACTCCAACAACTCACTTGTATCTCTAAAATCCAAGTCTTACACAGTGTCACACCAACACCTTCTCTGTGTTATTCAGACTACTGTATAGGTTGGTGTGGCATGAGGAAGATCTGCGTTGCCAAGTGCTGCCTACTGCTTAATTTCATGAACACTGACAATTTACCAGGTGAGAGAGCGCTCCTAGGAAGCTGTTCTTAAAAACTGTGCTATGGGCAGAATAATCAAACATCTTTTGGAGACTGAAGCTGAAATACAATTATCTCTGAGAAAGTGAAATACAGAAGAACATCTTCCAAAGATTTTGATAAGTTAGAAAACTTTGGGATCTAACTAGAGAGCTCAGAATTCATTATTCACCTATCATTATGTCAAAGATCTGTGTATGTTAAAGACTGACACACTTTTTGTCTTTTCTTTTTTTTTTTTCATGAAAAAGGTTAAAGTTGGATGTTGGTCTCCTGAGTGCCACTTTTGTGGATATGCAATATTTAACAGAGTTTAACAATATGGCACACACAGACATTTGAAATCTAATTAATCTCTTGACATTTGACTTAAAGTCAAAGCAGTGGACCACAAGATGAATAAGGATTATTGTTCTAAACTCCACAATTTCACTTCTACTTTAGCTCCTGAGATTTCAATCACATTAACACAAAAGGTATAAAGTTTGGGATTTGCTGTACCATATAATGGAAACTGGGTTTTAAACATTCAGATAAGCATCTCTGCTTACACTGCTAGTGGTGGTTACTTCAGGACATTAGCCAAAACCAGGATTGTGGCAGTAAAGCCTGGAAAAGGTCATTTAGTGCATATAATGGTTTGGGCTGGAAAGGATTTTAAGACCACCCAGTTCCAACCCCCCTGCCATGGGCAGGGGCACCTCATACTAGACCATGTCACCCAAGGCTCTGTCCAGCGTGGAGTTGAACACGGACAGGGATGGAGCATTCACCACTTCTTTGGGCAACCTGTTCCAACATTGAACTTTATATATAAATAATCTCCTCAGAAAATTATTTTCATCATGGAAAAAAAAGGAATTGTTAAACCATTTATGAAGTATATAATAAGATTTAAAAAAAGCTGAAAATGTAAAATCATTTGTAAGTAATGCTAGGCAACAAGTGAATAGATTAGCTTTGAATTACAGTGGATATCTTTCCTAAAGACAGAATTACTGGGAGTTGTTTTTTCTACATACTTAAGATAGCTAACAGGCACAAAATGAAACAATGCCAAGGCTCTCAATAATCTGTTTGCAAAAAAAACTGCTTCCTGGCAGCTGAAGAGAGGTGGGAAGAAATTCTCCCTGCTAACATCTGGACTCTTGGAAAAAAAACAACCTTGACAGGACTGACCCCCTAATCTGGATCCCTTATAATATTTAGTAAGCATTTAATTTTTTTAAGCTCCATATATACATGAATTATCACACTATAATGGAAAAATAAGAGAGATCGATGACCCATAATATTCTGTCTTTAGCCTTTTCTTTTTTAAGACAGCATAATAGCTCATGAATATGCAATGCTTTCATTAACAGTATGGACAGAGAGTGTTAACAGGATGGAATAAGATGCACCTTCAGCAGTTTTCCAGCTGACACTAAAATGAGGCAAGCAGTTGATATGGTGAAGGGCTGAGCTAACATTCAGAAAAAGCTCAAGAAGCAGAAGAGCTAAACATAATGGGTTGCCACAAACCTCTTCTAGTTCAACAAAGGCAAATACAAAGTTCTGCACTTGGGAAGAGATAAATTGATGACATAGTATAGGCAGAGGCTGAAAACATACACACCATGTGGTTCACCCTCCTAAACATCTTGGCTGCCCTCCCCTGGACTTGCTCCTGTCTGTCAATATCTATGTTATAGTTTGAACCTCCGAACTAGGCATTGTACTCTAGATGAAATCTCACAAGTGCCCAGTAGAGAAGAATAATCACTTTTCTCCCTATTCCTGTCACTCTTTCTCGTCGCAGCCCTCTTTGCCTTTATTCCTGTAAGGGCACACTGCTGCCTCATGTTCAACTTTTCTATTTGGACTCCAGGATTCTTTTCTGCAAAGTGAAGCTTACTTTCCACTTCAGTAGATCATGTTCTTCTCCATCACACAAAAATCATCCAAAAAGGACAAGGTGAATATCAAAGACAGTGGCAGATGAAGTTTAAGCTATGGTGTAATGAACACCACAGATTTATGTTGGCAATGGAAAGGATAAAATGCCCTTTAGTTTGTATGGAACAACTTTCCTCCCTGTTCATTAAAAGAAAAACTTACAGTCTATAATTACAAGACTACAATTACAATACCTTCATAACAATTCTTGCAAACCAAACTTCAAAAGTTCTTAACTTGACACTTGAGCCCTTAATCAATAAACCACTGGCCAAAATCCAGGTTTCCAGTACTCTGAAGGTTAGCCAAGGGGAAAAACAAATGAGAGTCTTACTTGAGGTTTATTTTCGGCTGTTTACTCTTTTTCCTAGTCAGGATACTGAAGTTCTGTGAGCCCAAGTTTGTGTTACCTAATCACTAACAGTCTGACAATATTATTGGAGCGATTTATAAAATAGCACAAGCTTTATAAAATTCACAAACTTGAATAATATTTATATCCCATTTCCTTAATTTGGAAACTAGCATGATAGAAGTAGCACACACATCTAAACTGCAAGAACTCTCAAGCAGTTCTAAGTGTGATAGGCAGTTTGCTGAGAAACAATCAAAGAATCAGAATCCTGTGAACCATCCCTCTCCAATTCAGGCGTATTTCCTCTTTTTTCTTTTCTTCTGGCCCTATTATCACACCACTAATTTCAGAGTGAATCTGTTCCAAACAGAGGAGAGGTTTCCATGAGATTCCAAATTCAGCCTCCAAGGGTGGGATTTTCAAGAGCTTTCTGCAGCAGCCTCCTATGGTCTGATCCTCACTGGGGACTTTGCTTCCCAAAGAGCCTATCTGAAGAGAGACCATGCATAGTTCGAGACATTCTCCTGCCCATCTTATGAGCCAGCCATTAAAATAACATGCAGGCATCAGATACCATGTAATTAGATGGGAAGCAGAGCCATTTATTGAGGAACAGTATTTCAAACAGCAGAACATGTGGGAAAAGCTTCCCCCACCCCCAGTGCTGATTTGAGATGAAAATGGTGATTAACAACACGAGTTGGGAATCGTTTTGAAGTCCCTACTAGTACGAATTTATATACACTACCTGTATTTAGTTAGTGCCTCTGCTCCAGAGATCAGACGTTGGGAAGCTTGGCTGCAAACACCCTGTTCTGGTCTGAGGAACTCCACTACCATCCAAGTGGTGGGCCAGGGCACATCTGAACTCCGCATTTTCCTCTGAGGAGCTCAGTTCCTGGCACTGCTCATGCCAGACACCATTCACAGGCTGAGGTGGGCTTGGCTCAGTCCCCATCTTCTGCTCAAGAGCCAGCTGCTCCAATTCATCTACAGCGAGTGGGAAGCTCCTTACCTTGCAGGGTCCACGTACCCCAGCTTTTTCCTGGGGGGCCCACTATCCTTCTCTGAAGCACCAGTCTCATCTGCAGTGGGATAAGGTCCTCCCCAGCCCTGCCGTGGGGAGTCACAAAGCTGCCTCCGCTGGCTGCGCTGCACTGGGGAAGGTGGAGTCCGGTGCTACTCTAAAGGAAAGACCATTCTGTAATCCTAGCACTGGGTGATGCGGGGAGAAATCCAGACCTTGAGGGCTGCAGAGCAGTTCCCACCTTTCTACTCGGGACACCTCAAGAGCCTCCAAAACACTGTGAAGGAAACGATTTTGGCAGTAACAGCTACTTACCACCAACCAGCCAGCTCACCATGAGCAAAGAAACAACATATTGCACAAAGGTGAGGTTGCCTTGTCAAGCTCTATAAAAGCTGTTTTGCAACAAGCTCTCTACAAACTGAAGATTAGGCTTAGCTGGTTTACTGTTTGAGCTTCTGTGTTTTAAAAGCAGCCATTGTCATGCTGAACTGTTAAAAATGATGGACTTATCTGTGCAGCTCTCACAAAGAACAGCTATTCCAAACTGCTGCTTCTGGTTTTGCTTGCCAGGCCTAATGACTATTGAAAATCCCGGCCTGCTTCCAGCTTAGCCAGTGGCACAGGGCAGCCTGTGGTGTACATCACTTCTTTTGCCTGTCCTTAAAGACAGCGGCTCACGTAGCCCTGCAACAGACAGGTAAGCCGGTTCTTTTCCATTACCAAGACACAGCTATGAAAAGCTCGTGGTTGCCTGCAACTGTCTGCTTAGCCAGAAGAAAAGCACAGATTTTTTTCCTCCTGTTTTTAAGTCTATTTGCAAAGATTTAAGTCGATTTGCACAGAGAATATGACTTTTCTCCTGCATATGGAAGTGGATCAAATGAACCTACACAGTTTCACACTTAGTGCGTGGTTTTGCACATGCATATTATATTACTCAGGTTAGTAAACATGACAGCACCAGTGGCCACATACAGAAATCAATGACGAAGTCCTTAAACTGGCCTCCAATAGCAGTGAAGATGCAAAAAGGCATTTCCTGTTGTCATTTTCAATCTACTGAGGAATTGCTTACTCCCAAGTAGAGAATTTAACTCTCGTGGTGATAGAGAATTGATTTATTCCCTCTGAATATTTGCCCTCTAAACATGCTATTTCAGAGAGTCCGTTATGATGGTAACTTAAGATAACGCTGGTTAACATTTACTCATTGCAAACTGAAGCATTGCTCTCACCAGCCAAAAGTGCTTTCAAAAGCAGATCGTGCTGCTGGAAAGAGAACCGGGATTCTGTCTAAAGTACTTCTGTGAGCATTTACTCTGTAACAGAACAAACTCTTTGCAGCTGTGCCTGAGATCAATTAGATGTTTTCTTTCCTGGTTGTAGTTTCTCAAATGATGTTTTAGAAGAAAACCTTAAATTGACAGCATAAGTATGGACAATTTGATTTTCAGAGAAGTGAACTGAGATAAGGAAAAAAGAAAAAAAAACATCTACTGATTCATGTAACCATCAAAACAGAGGCAATTTTGGTCAAATAATCGTAGCTAAGGCCTACAGGTTAAGAATTACGGACCAAATAATTTCACGTCAGGAATTGCCTGGCATGATTTACTCACAGATTATTTGCAACTGTGTTCTAGAACAAGTCCCTCGGCCACTTCACTGAGTGGGATACATTCACACCCTTGGCACACCGCTTCCGGAGCACCATGGAAGACAATTCTGGTTTCTGGAAGATGTGGTGCTTTTGAGATACCCCAATTGTGCAGGCAGCCATAATGCATTTTATGTTCTTCTGACTGGGGGCAACAAGATCTAACAGGCTGAACTAGGAAAACAAATACACACATTTAGTCAGTGTATATTAATTCAAATACATCTTAAGCTGTATACCTAAGGCTCTTAGGATATCGGATTTGTTTTTCCTCCTTGCTGCACTACTCAATAACCTACGGCAGAAAGCTTAGCTTTAAAATCCAGACCAGTATATTTTGAATTTCTCTCCCCTTTAGTCACCGTAAGAACAGAGACAAAAATCAAGAGCTACTGCTGCTGCTTCCAGCACCTTGTACAAAAATAAATCAAGATGTCCTTCTGACAGTCTCAAAAATCTTGAAGAGTCTTCTGCAAATTCCTCTTCCATCTTTGGATTTCAACAGAGACAGTAAGTTCCCATTCCCAAGACTCGTGTCTTGGTCAAATTCAAGATGAATGAAGTCTGTGTTCTCTTTCCTTGGAATTGCCATTCCATTTCCATCCTCAGTGTTTGGATTTCCTTACATTGTTTTTCTCTTTGTCCAAACAAAATGCACTGGCAGCGCAAACAAAAAGTACATACTGCGAAACACTCCCCAGCCCATTCTGCCCTCCGCAGCAGCAAGTGATCATCTCAGCATTTCAAAAGGGTCTCCTGAGACGTTATCTGCATGCACAGGACTCCACTGTCATGTTGGGGTACACCTTAAGAACCACATTTTTATTTTCATCAAAGAATAAGATACTAAGAGAAGACATTTTGTCGGGAATGCAGCAAGGCTCAGGAATGCCTGGGACGACACCGACGGCTCTCACTATGCTCTGGATGGTGGCATGGTTGGATGGCTTCAAGGCCTGCAAGAGAAAAATAGGACAGAGAATATAACTACTACAGCCACATTAGAAGGGACCCGCATACCCTAGAACAAAACTGGTTTCTTCAAGAAGGGTCCTATAGGGACCCCACAGCTGATCAGCTGTACAATATATCTTCTATCAAATTAAGTCACACTGGGGCTGCAATTTAGTAGAACCTGCAAAGGATTCACTGGGCAGCATTCAGCTACTCTTGTACATGCAGATGTTACACACTGCCTGACCTTTTACCCCTGTGGCTGTTTAAGTTTACTGTCATAGCTTATCAGATGAATGAGATGCAGGGGAGTGGTGATGCTTTGTTCAAAACATAAATGCAAAGTTTGTTGCACCATCCTCCTCATGGCTATAGTTTCCCAGCATTGTTACAAAGACATTTACACAGACATTTACAAAGACATCATCTCCATCTGTGATTCTATGAGTCTATGATCTAGGCAGCTCATCTCAAGAAAGACATCTCTGTTTGGAGTTCAAGAATACCTGTGCTCCTCAGTAGTAATTGATAAGGATATAAAAAAATGTCTTAGATTAGTATACAACACAGATTTCTGCATCATTTCTGCCTGCAAAAGGGGGCAAAAGCTCTGGTACCATCCAGCCTTGTCTCTTGTCTCAGGTGCAGTCCAGCATTCTCCACAAAGGGACCTGGGAGCCAAATGGATCTCCTGAGCCTGCTGGTCAGACATCAAAAGGTAAAACATCTACCAAGACCCAGTTTCCCATTGCCAGTAGTACTGAAAGTAAAAAAGGTGTCTGAAGGTGCTGTGTTAAGTTCCCATAGGAAACCCTTCCATTCAGATATGGAATCCGTACCAATAAAATGCTAACTTGCATAGAAGTAATTTGAAGGACGGGCCCAGCTGCCTGTGGGAATCACCTGGATACGTTCTGTCATTCTATGATGAAAGAAATATCTCCATTTGATACATGTATCGTACAAGACAGAACAGCCTCCATACTGGCTGAAGTCCATTTGGGATGCACTGCCTCTGGCCCTTAAAGTGCACTCTTGGGGATAACCGGCTCCGCTTCTGCCAGTGGGAACGTAACTGTGACCCCAAGTAAAATCCAAAGGGGTGTGCTTTGTGGGAAGGCGAATTCCCTCCAGAGTACTGACCCGGCACACTGCCCTGCACAAGGGCCAGCTCAGGCCATTGCCCCAGTCATGGAAAGTGGGCAGAGATTCGCTTTTAGGAGAGGAGAAGTAGGGGAGGCCAAGAGGAGCAGTGGGAGGAAAAGAAGCCGAGCTGCCTCCAAACTGACAGATGTGTAAACAAGTCCAGCTGCAGCTCCAGCCAAGCTGCACACCATCACTCGGGGTCTTGCTGCTCTGTTGAATTCCCTTAACGATGGATTATGGGCAGGGCAAATGGTGTCAGTTCTGAGCTTTCATTCCCGACCTGGGAATGCGCTCTGCAGCATTAGGCAAGCCTAGTGCATGTGGGTCTGTCAACAGTCAAAGCAGCTATGAAATCTCAGAAAGGGTAAGGCCAGAAAATGTGGAGGTAGGAAGGGGAAGGGTAGAAGAGGCACATCCATGCTTCCTTACCCATCAGGTTGTGAACTTCAGGAACCCGCCCTTAGCAAGAGAACATTATATACCCATAGGCACAGATTAGTTTGCTATTGACTGATGGTTATAGCATCATTTTGCAAACAGGGTCTTATTAGTTGCACTAGACACTATGCGTAGCTCAAGAATAACACATGGCTCTAGAATGCGCTCGCTTCACCTTTTTATAGAATTTAGCTTTCCATTCTCTTTGGAAAACAAGGTCATTTTGGTTTTCGCAATTCAAAAAGTGCACAAGAGGAACAATTTGAATTCCAACAGTGACAGGAATTTAGCAATTCCTTTCAGGGAACCAGACTCATGGGGGTTTTGGTATCCCACTCTATATGCAGTACCTGGCAGCAAACGTTCAGCTTCACAGTGCCTAAATAACTGTAATGCTCTGCTACTATAATCCCTCACACAACTGAGTCCAGAGAGTTGCACACAGAAAGGCCAGATTAAGCCCTTTAATAGAATTTGGAGAAGGAAACTGTTCTCCCGGTTATGGCTTTGCAGGCCTGTGCTTACAGGCTTAGTTTATAGCAATTGGACCTCCTGCTTCATGTCAAAGTCATTTAAACTCTGCACTGTATTTGCTGCTGTTTATTTGCTGTTTATTTCTTGCCTTTTTTCTACTACCAGCTTTTTCCAGAGCAGAGACCACTTTTGGTAGCATGTACATGCCTACCCCAGGCAGAGCAGAGGGATGAAGAAGGAGGAAGAACACTCCTTCGGGACTGCCAGACTTAGCTACCGTAAGAGTAGCCAATAGTGCAAGTGTACTTATCTGAGAAACTGGAGCTAAATCGCAGTATCTTGGGCACTGAGATACTTTACCTGCAGGAAAGCAGAACCTGAATTTGGCAGAACATAAATTGGTCTTTTCCAAACTAGTTCATTCTATGATTCTACGAACTGAGCTTCACTTTGCCTCTTCAGAACCACCAGTACTAAACTCATCTCAGGACTTTTTACTCACAGGAGCATTTGCATCACTCATTGTGCTCTTCTCCAGAGGTTTGAAGGAAGTCTGGGAGTTAGACCATGATGTTATGGAGCACGCTACCGACGGAATCATAGAATCAACTAGGTTGGAAGAGACCATTACCCCAGGACTGCCAAGTCCACCACAAAGCCATGTCACTACCTAGCGATGGTAGGCTTGCAAAGGCTCTGTGAAAGGAATAGCAACCTTGATATCACAGTGCTTTTTCATCATTACTTTAGGTTTCTGCAAGTTTATCTATCTCCACAAAGATACATGATGATTTTTGCTGCTGGAGAACCTGTGTTCTCAAAGTCTCACCTGCACTCTCGAAGAGAGACTTGCTTTCTGTCTGAAGTCTGTTATCTCCTATTTTGACAGTCGAAGCAAGGGCTTCTAAAACCACTACATTCAAACTGCTTTTGAGAAACCCTTGTTTGCTCTCGAGCATGCTCATTATTGAGCAACCAGTCTACATCAGGCACTGGCTAACCCTGCAGATACATGCTATGTATTGACTATTAAAAGACAGCTTTTCTGCCTCAGGAGCACATCACCCTTTCTTGCTACCTACATGCAACCACCTCACACCCAGAGGGTATTTCACAAGTCAGCTGGCCAGCATCCACTGCTTTTGGAGCCACTTGTTCCACCAAAGAAGCAATTCATCATTGGAGTCTTTTGCTTAAATTCGAGCATCCCAACTGACCGCTTGCTATGCGGGAAGTATTTTTGGCAATTTTGAATCATAGACTCCTAGAACAGCTAGGGTTGGAAAGGACCTTAGTTCCAACCCCAATGACATGGGCAAGGACACCTCACACTAAATTTGGGGACTGGACAAAAAAAATAACATGCAATATTTTTGTTTTAATTACCTTTACAAGCCTGTCTTTTTACTAGCTCTTCTAACCACTAATCCTTGCAGCATGACACAAAGATACCACTTACTACATTTGAACATGTAATGGGTGACCAACCACCTTTTAGTGACTCAAGAAAGAAAATGCACAGTTTGTGGTAACAGCGCAAATAAAGTAATAAAGACCATACCTTTGAAATTGGGAATTGGCATTCCCCTGAGCAGTAATAGGCGTCAAAGGATTTTGGGGAAATAATCCACTCGTTCCAGCCAATGTCTGCAAAATCCACCTTGAGATAACGCCGGGTGCAATACCGGGGCTCATTCCACTGCTTCCTCCTCGCCTTCTTCAGCGTTTGCTCATTGAATTGAAGGGCCTGGCTCTTCTGGTGAGGATTCTTCCTCTGCTTTTTCTTACTCTTTGCCCTGTCTGACAGCTGTGGCTGGAGGCTTCTGTAGGGTTTTCTGTCCTCCCATCTCTCATCCTCATTGTACTGGTACTCGGCTCCTGGAAGCTCATTATTCTGCAATGGCAAGAGGATGTTTGTGGAGCGTTTTTGTCGCCACTTCCCAAGGCTGCTCCTCACGTGGTTTTCTGGCCTGGGAAGGACCCTCGCCAGAAGATGATGGTGCCCTTGCAAACTAGAGATGACACTCTCTGGCTCTGAAATTGCAGAATCATTGGCATAAATCAGAATGTAGGGTTCATAGAGAGAAGGTGCTCGTTCCCAGGGGCGATGGTTGCTCAGATCCATTTTGACACCTATCAGTAGTTCATTGTTTTGTTTTGCTCCATGCAGGAGCTGAGTGATATCCTTTCTCTGCCAGGAAAAGGTGTCCTGGTGAGCTATGGAGACATTGATGAGGAAATGTCCTAGGGTCCAAGTCTTGTTCCCCACAGAAGGTAAGGTCCAGACTGAAAGATGTATCTGCATTTCAGGTTTCCTGTGCCTGTGATGAGAACAGTCTCTGGACCCAGAACAGTTCCACTTCACATGCAGCAAATCACCAGTATAATAATATACTGAAGCTGACAAGACATTTTCAGACTCTGTGAGGGATGTCAAGTTAAAAACATACATCTTCTGGCTTTCAGGGCTCCCTAAAAGGGGAAATACTTGTATAAGAATATAGGCATTTCACAACATTACAGTGGAGAAATGATCGTGAAGTTCACAGGACATTTTCACACAGTGCTGTGGGAATGGGTTTAGGCTGTTATTCAGAAAAATAACCAAGCTGGTAAACTGGTGACTGTAAATAAAGCACTTTCCATCCAATTTCCTTACAGTACTTGACTCCATCCAGAAATACACATTTCCTACTGGTCCTCTGACTTCAGGAAACCAACTCGGCCACAGATCCAGAAAAGCGTCATTTCCAGTACAGGTCTTTCAAAGAGTTTGACAGCTTTATGTTCTGGGTGACATTCTGTGCTTCCAGCCTGCGACATCCCAACTGCTAACATCAATAAAGTCCATCAAAAGAGTATATTCTCCCTCTACCTCTCCATCCTCACCCCAGCAATCAGAGTAGCCTCTTATCACACAGTATCACAGTATGCTGGAGATTGGAAGGGACCTCAAAAGATCATCTAGTCCAATCCCCCTGCCAGAGCAGGAACACCTAGATAACGTTACACAGGAATGTGTCCAGGCGGGCTTTGAATGTCTCCAGGGAAGGAGACTCCACAACCTCCCTGGGCAGCCTGTTCCAGTGTTCTGAATAAATATTTTTTTCTAACAGATACATTAAAAAGACAGGAATCATCTCTGGAAAGACAGCACCCTTCCCAGCAGATCACATGTGCTGCTTCATTAAATTAGGGAAACAACAACATATACGTTTGTCAGCCAAACAGGCAAAAAAAAAAAAAGGCCAAATAATTTACAGAAGACACCCTCATTCACACATTCAGCCCAACGTATATGAGTGGATCATATAGGTAAGTTCCCAATAGCTGAAACTATGGTACCACACCCACCTAATTTCTAGCTATTACTTATGCCTGGGGAACTAGATTCCCTTTGAATTCAGTCCTGCTTTCGATTCCTCAAGCCGATATCATCTGTTTATTACATTTGTACTAAGCACACATGAGGACTTGACCTCTGCTTGGTTTGTAATTGCTACTATAATAAAGTTAATATGTAATTTGGCAGAGCACTAAGTACATCAGACTTAGGAACCAGAACTTATGCTATCTCATGAATGCCTGTTCAAGAAGTTATTATGTGAATCACTGTTGTATGTTTGGATTTTATTTTTTAATAAGAATTTTTTAATAAGAATTCCACTTAACAAATACTGCCTGTTCTAAATTGGCATATCGTAGTGGAACAGAAAACAAGCTGCTTTGGTTTATAAAGAAACCCTAGATGGTGTGAAACAGGAGGAATATATAGTTTTGAATGAAAGCAAAACTCAAAAAGCCACTTTTGGCATTTAACTCTACACCCAAACCTAAGAACTTGCAGCAGGTGGTGCTATTTTCTCACTAAATGATCACACTCAACCATCTCTCAAGTTTTCACATCATTCAAGCTGCAAAATCAGCTTGAAACCAGTGACTAGTGGCTGGCACAGATGTCTACAGATTTGCTGGCTTCCGGCTTGGAAGAACCTAACTGTGTGGCCTGGGTTTGTGTCACAACTTAGGAACGCTATGTCAAACGCATCTATTGTGTGATAGTGATACCTGACTCCCAGATGTGAGCAATGCACTGAAATAAGTGTTCCTGCAGCATAAGCATTAAAAATGACAGACGCAAAGCTTTAAAATACCTGCAAATGCACCTTTTCCTCAGGAAAATTTCACTCCCCTTAAATGAAACTTTATCCTTAAACCCAGAGGACAGAAACTGCTGAAAACCTGTCTCCACCATAATGTCATTAAGCTGTTAGCCCAGGTTAGGAGCAGAGTTGAAACCTCTCACCACTGCCAGGAGGTATCCAGTAGCATCTAACTAAATTTCCTTGTTATGTGGGAAGCTTTCAATGAGTCTCATCCAGCTACTGACACAAGTGAAGTTTTACTGAGTGATGTGAGCTGAGGCTTTAGTCTTTAAAATTACTTACACCAATAATTCCTCTCATACAGACTGTTCCATTGATTGATTTACCCCCCTCACTAATCCCAAAGAACCCTAAACAAAACCCCAAGTCAAGTCTGAGTGGGGCTTTAATTCCAACACCTTGTCAATGTTCAGTAAATGGTATTCCTAGGATGCTGCCATCACTAGCTCCATGTTCAGTGGAAAGGAAGAGGTATGCAAACTGCAAGGTCAAGTCCATCAACAACTGCTCAGCAGCCAGTAGGAAGATGCAGACTGACTAAGCACAGACAAGGCCTCTGGCCAGGTTGCCCTCTAAGCCAAGACAGACCTCCTTTAGGGTCTTAAGGGCAACCAGATCTCCTTGCAAGAAAGCCCTCTATTGATCTAGAAGGTCAAAATCAGCTTTGCAGGTGAAAGTAAAACACAAGCTCAGAAACTGACACCCTAGAAGATCACTCATCAGAATAGCTTTTTTTCTTAAGTTTTCAATATCAAACCAACCCAGTGAAGACAGCAGCTTTGCAGCAGCTTTCGTGATGCTCACTGTCTTTCAGAGGGGTGCTGGACAGAAGGTCCCTCTCTTCCAGGGCTGGCTCTTATGATGCAGCAGCGGTGGGAAGACCAGAGGAGCCCTGGTAGAATACCTTGTCAATGTTCCGTAAATGGAATTCCTAGGATGCTGCCGTCACTTTGCTGCCTGGCAAGATTCTGTCTGCAGCCTGTGAGCAACTGTGCTTAGTAAACCTCACACTCATCTACAGCAGTATACAATGCATTTCAGTGACAACTTAGTATTATATGAGCAGCAGTAACTTCCCTAGCTCATTTCCTACACTTCCCAACACTGTGAGCAGCAGACCGCTATCAGGGTAGCCCTACTTGAGCTATGTCTTTTAGTTCTTTCTTTAATGAGTTCTGCTATCTCAGCTTTGATCTTTTGTAGTACAGAACAGGAAGCACAGAAGACTTCTCAACAACAAAGCATGAGAGGAGAAGACTGAAGGGAAAATGAGCAAAAGAAATACATGTGTAACAGAGCTATATGCAAGTAATACCTTCCACATACTCTGAGCCTGGATTTCAACAGCAATCTCTGCTGAGGGAGCACTGTATGTTGCTGGAGCCCAATGAGGAATTTTGCAGACCAAACTCTGTACACAAGAGCTCTTTTGAATTGCAATGGGGAAGACATCACATCACTACACTGTCAGTATCGCTTGCTCCTACTGACTAGAACTTTGGAGGTACATGCAGTTGAAAGCATAAGCTAGATATTTATTGGCCTCCTTGGCCCATATGCAAGTCATTATTCAGCTGCCTGCACTCTCTCATGTGAATGGAACCCAGACCCCAGTAACACCATGGCAAAGTTTACCATGTTGTCTATGGGAGATGCCAGCTTATTTACGGATAGCTCAGACCAGAAAGCCACCCAGCTCACAGCTCTACAGCCAAAGTACTTGTACCCGCTGAATCTCGTCAGAGGCATGACCCGTGCTTCCTCACCTCCCTGCAATAGCCCACAGCTGCATGGAATGCCTGTTATGGCATTAAAAAGGTATTTGAAGAAAAAGCATTAAGTCTGTGGAGACTGGCATCACCAGCATAAACATATTCATGTTACAAGGGGCAATTCCAGGCATCAATAAGCTAGAACAAGTCTGTTAACACTTGGTATGTTTACCTTTATAGAGGATGCACTGACATTTTTAGGGACTGCCGGTGAAAAAGGATGCAATAACGAGGACTATTTAGTTATACAGTCATAATCAGTCATCATTTAAATGAGATATTTAATATTTTATAAACTGTGCCCTTGTGCCAGTGCAGAGTTAAGAATGTATCAGTGTTTCCATTGTAGAACTTGTTTTCATGAGTTCATAGCCCAGCTACAGAAGTTTGCTCAGACCGGGAAATGCTAACAAGTTCCAGAACAGGAACACAAATTTGGAAGTCAGATTTCTTGTTTTCTCCTACCTTTGCTCAAAATCAATTGCTGCTTCCCCCTTACCAATTTGAGTATTTTGCAAAAGGAAAATACAGGATCTGGTTCTCTCTTTTTAAAGAGCCATAAGACTTGATGTCAAATTGGGTTTATTATTTTTTTAGCAAAGCAGATAAGGTTATAGCAGCTAGTAATTTGATATAAAAAAGTAAAAAGTCCACTAGACTGGTTAAAGCTATCAGTTACTAAAATAATTTCAAGAAGCACCAATGGTGCATGCTTAGGATTGAACCTACATGTGGATTTTATGATATAAAAACTATAAATATGCACACTGCATATCATAAATGTGGCTGCACACTGGGAAAAACATCTCTTTTCTATATATTTTAAGCAGAAAGACCGTAGCAGGTCTGAAAACTAAACATAATATTGAAGTTAGCATAAGCTAAGCAGCTAAGGAGGTTGCATCAATAAAGTACACAAATCCAGGAAGGAGAAAACAAAAAGCCAACCCTACTCCTTCTCACCATCCTCGTGAATTCCACTTCAGCTAGTGGCAGTAGGTCACACTGTGCACAGCGTGTCCCGTTCAGGTCAGAACACTTCACATGTAAAGTGCCATGCTGTAGACACCGAGTGGGGACTGCGAGCACTGATCACGCATATGTGTGACAGCACAGTGAGGCAGGGCGTAACACAAGCCAGAAACCCCAAATTCTGGGTCAGGTCCTGAGGGGCCAAACCTACAGATCCTGCCCATTTTCCTTAGAGGAGGTTTGCAGATTCAGGCCTAGTCTACACAAATTCCAGCTTAATGCTTTACAAGTTCCCTTTGCCTAAAAATTACCAGGATGCTGCCTGTATTTTACTTCTAAGGGTACAGCAACAAAAAAAAACAACACCAAACCCCAAAAGCCACAAACTCTTCCTGTCTCCTGCCTGTATGTTTTTAAAAGTCTTGTTACAGAAGACCCTTCATGTTACCAGAGCTCAGAGAGGCTAGAACACAGCCCATACTGGTTTCTGCAGGCCAGTGATGAGCTTTCCCTGTGCAGTGCTCAGTTTCCCCTGTTTCCGTGGGCACTTAATACCACAACAAAGGAAAGCAAGGCGTTTTGAAAAGGAGGAGAGCATAGTTCTGAAACCACAAGAATCGGCCTAGGGGCAGGTGTAATACCTGAAATTGCTTGAAATTCAGTCAATTAAAAAAGAGTTTAAAGTAATTTCTGACTGTATAGCTTTACTATAACATCATTAGAGGGACCCTCCAATTAAAGTGGATTTTTTTTTTAAATGACTCATTTGCAAGACATGTTCTATGATTAAAAGCACTTCCAAAAGCAAACTGAAAGTCTTGCATTTGAGGCTTTTAACTTTCTGCTCTCTCTTATTTATTCCATGCTGTATCTTTCCTCCAGCTCCTGAGCCTCAGAAGTTGCAGATCAGCACCCCTCTAGGGGAAGCACTCAAAGCAAGCAGATTTCTGACATCTGGAGGTCTGGTCATTCAGTGGTTCTGCTAACTGGCAGGAGATAAAAATGTTCATGTGCAGAAGCTGAAGCACAGACTCAACCACAACTTAAGAGAAAGTGTTCAGTTCTAACTTGCAGATCACCCAGCTTCTCTCCCAGCTATCTTTGCAGAGTCCCAGGGGACGGAAAACCATTCACTGTTGTGGTACCCACAGGTAAAGATCCAGAAAAGGCTTTGTCTTGAGATTTTTCCTAAAGCAGAGCCTGGCCTGAGTAAGACCTGGCCTGAGTAAGACAAAGACTGCTGGTGCCACCTCAGAAATCTGAGAAAACTGCCACAGAAATCACAGGCTGAACATCCTTTGATTCAAATACATAGACATAAATGAGAGCAGCAGTGAAGTCAATGAGAGAGAATGGTGCAGGAATGTCACTTGATCCACTGTGAATGACAGACATCCTTACCTCACTGAAACGGATCTGGGGCTTGAGGTTTCTTTTGGCTTTGTCATGGGCACCACAGGTTCCTTTTTTGAGTGACTCAAACTGAACAATTATATTTTGAGATAATTTAGCAAGATTAAAGGGAAAGAGATTTGCCTGAATATAAGATCAGCTGAACAATCATCAAAACTAATGGCCAAACCCCCCCAGCCCAAGCAACAAACCGCTAATAATCCATCCTACTTGTGGAATCTGGTGTGCAAGAGAATTCAAGGCAGCACAGGATGGGAACTTCAGAGGTAGCCACACAGGGCTGAAGCTCTCATCCTAGCCCCTCAGAGGACTGAGACACAGAAAGAGAAACTTGCATTTAACAGATGGTAGGATGTTTCTTTTGATTAGTCACATCTTAGTTCTTTCTTCTTGGCTGTCCAGCACAAGACCACAGCTGCCACATAGAACAACACTTTTCTTCCACTAGAAATGAGGACAAGTCTCAACAAATGCTATCAGTTGTTGGTCTCATCACACAACCCGTCTTAAAGGGTATCAACAATTTGTCTGGCAGGTTACCAGTGAAATCTCTGAGAGGCCTTTCCTGTGTACCACAGAAAAAACAGAGCCCTCCAGGGGAAAAGTGAGGACTGAAAGGTTTCACAGCCACCCCGAGAGTTGTGTTTCAGAAAATAAACTGTTTTTTCTCCTGAAAATATACAATTAAATTGAAAAACGTATGGTTAAACTGCAAATCAAATCACTAAAGATTGTCTTCAAGACCTTTTGCTGTAGATGTAGGAAAACAGGCAGATTTTTAGGGAAGTTCTGCTCATCACAAACAAAAAGCTGTCTCCTGAAGGGGCTGCCAGCAGGGATGGTAAAATCTGCTTAAGGAGAAACAGCAACATAATTTAGTAATTTAACTGATGCAGCCACATTGTAAGGACTACAGGAAGCCTGTGGGAGACTGAAATGTGCAGTCAAGGAATGCAACGGTCAGAGCAGAGGATTTGGAAACAAACTACCTCAAAAGGGAGATGCAGTGGATGTACCATTTCCTTCAAAGTACTGGCCAGGCAGTTGGGCACAGGGAAAATGACAGAAAGGAGAAAAAGCCTTTTTGCTCCCCCCACTGCCCCGAGGAAAATTTGACCTGAGGTTTTTCTGGAAAATCGCTTTTCTGCCATCAATAACTATACAACATGAGCTGCTGCTATCTATGGCGAGAAAGAGACAACAGATAACTGGTTAAAGGGTTTGCATTAATACTTACAACAGCGTCAAAAAGCTTACAACGACATGCAGTTTGTTGCTTTGGCACTTGAACTGTGGAAGTATTGGAGGAGGCAGAAAGAGATTACTCAATAGTGTGTTTATAGGACTGCTGCCACCCAATGTCAAGTGAGAGTATAAATATAATCAGAAAGACCAGAGTGATGGGATTTCAACCAAAGGCCTTCTAAGGTTTAGAACAATAAATATATTTAATCAGATATGTTTAAAGGAGCACATATCACTCTGCTGGGATTATACACCCTCCCCCTTTTTTAGTATTATACCTTCCCCTCTTTCAGCAAGGGAACCACTTATTTTAGAGCAAAGCAACATACATTAGATGTTACCTTGCAAAAAGTGGTCATGTCAGAAAAACCAGAGAGTTCCTCTGCAGGAATAACAGCTCGGGAGTCCCAGCCCTCCATCCTTCAAACCCAGGGTATTTATACCTCTAAAACCTCTCCTGTGGACAGAAATACTTGCAGCAATGTCTGATGAGAGCATTTATAGAGCTGAATCCTAAAACACCAGAAGCCATTCAATTATTTATAGTACTTGATCTCTGTGCAGAGCTATCCTATAAGAGACACTGTTGCCTTTGAAGAATCAGAAGTAATGACTTCCAAAGAAACCTAAGGCAAATCTGGCACCCAGCTCTCAGTTTTCTGGGAGAGGAAAGAATCAGTACAGGTCCCTGAAACTCTCAGATGACACCGACTTTTACCAATAGACACTTGCCCATGAAAAAGATGGTGGGTCAATCCACTAGTGCAATGAAAAATAGAAGAGTGGCAAATTGGGCTGCTATGTATAGCATGACAGTTATCATACAAACAGCCAGTTTCGGGGATGCTGTGGATTTGAGAAGCATATCCAATGAGGGTCAGAGCCAAGACAGTGCCATCCTCCATTTTTGCTAGCTGGGACGCTGCAATGTTATATGCATATCTCCCCTTATGAAAAATGGCTTTACATTTTCATAAATCTACCTGTGCATGACAGTCTGTAATCACAGAGACAGCTAAGCTCCACTGCCAAAGATGTTGAGATGCAGTATTTACCATGCACAAATGATGCTTCAACTAAACTCATTTGATACTGCCCCTAATTGCCAGTACTGTCACCAGTGTCACCAAATGAGGACACTGTAGATGGTATAAAGGGTCGCCTAACCACATTTCTGCTCTACCACATGCAACTCAGCCCTTGGTTTCAGCAGAAGCTACACGTGCAAAACACTGATAAGAAAAAGCTCCAGAGAGGATATGTTAATGACTCCACTTCCCTCATATGGTGCTCAGCTATCACATGGCAGACATGTCATATGGAGTTGAAGAGATAAACCAGTGATTAAAATATGTGAGGCAATATAAACATTATAACCTAAAATACACGACTGTGGCTGCAGGAAGCGTTACTTTGCCAATCCGTTTCTCATCTCCTTCCCTCCATCCAGTTCCCCGGCACTAAACCGGACACACTCATTCCAACAGATGGACTCACCTGCGGGCAGAGGGCGGAAGCCTCGCACCGTGTTGCCGTGGCGGAGGGGCAGACCCAGCAAGTCCTGGGGCTGCTCCACCGCTCGTCCTGCGCTGTACTGGTCGTAGAGCCTCAGCATGTGCTCCGAGACCTTGTCCCGCGGCTGCAGCTGCTCCTCTGCATGCCGTGGGCCACAGTCACCTGCAGCGGCTCTGGCCCGGCCGCGCCGCACAGCTCCCAGGGTTGTGCGCCGCCGCAGCCCGACCCAGCGATCCTTCAGCGCATCCCCTAGAGCCAGGCACAGGCAGCCCCAGCCCAGGCACAGGCACAGCACCCAGCGGATAGACGCCTCCATCCTGCCCCTCCGAGCTCGCCAGGTAGGCTCCGGCGTCCCCTGAGTCCTGGCCAGCAGGCAGGAATAGGCCAGGGACCCCAGCGCAGCTTGCTTCGGCCAGGAGAGACTCCGGCAGCAAGACGTGCAGATGAGGCTGTGCTAAAGAAACACAGGCGGGCTTTCCTCTTTCTGGGGGGGCAAAATAAAGAAGGGAAAAAAGAAAATAAGAAGAAAAGATAAAAAGTGGGGCGGAGGAAATAAACCGCCCGTTCTCCCCGGCGCTGGCACTGATGGCGTTTATTCCCCCTGCTGAGCAAGTTGTTTCTTGACGAGAGGCGAAGGTGCTGCTCCCGATGCGCACTCCTCTCCTGGACTGGTGCAGGCGCAGCGCGGGTGAAGTTTTTTTGTGGGGTGTGCGAGTGAGTGCGAGACTCGGCGCTGGGGCTGATCTGTGCAGTCTGCAGCCAATCACACCACGCCCTGCTCGCTCGCCTGCGAACAAGAGGAAAGGCAAAGGGTAAACCACCACCCGAAGGAAAGCGCATACAGAGGCAGACGCACAGGGAGACTCAGATATGGAAATCCAATCACTGGCACTGACTGCGTCCCTGAGGGCAGCCGGGAAATAGGGTGGCGGGATGTCCCCTTCCCACCTCCACCCCGCCTCTTCCAAAGGCAGTAAAATATAACATGACTTCAGTAAAACGCAAATCACAAGTCAAACCGCACTCAGCTTGCTCCCCGGGGAAGCCTCGAGGCTTGGCTGGACTCAGAGCACAAGCCCATGGCCCAGGTGAAAGGGACGCTGTCCAGGTTGTGCTGGGCTCAGCACACCTCTCCCAAGGAGCTTCCATGCTCGGTGGCACTTCACTCCCTTCTCTATCAACCTTCAACCCGGCCAGGGCTGGCAGCAGTGTACCTCAGCAGCCCAGAGCCCATGGGAAGGGAAGTGCACCATGCCCAGGTAAAAGGAGGATAACCCGTCTCAGGCAACAGCCCTTCAACATAGTGAGCTGCATGGCATCCACCAGGGAAATCCTGCACCTCAGGACTCCTCCACCCACAGCACAGCAAGGTACTTCTTGCTTGACTGAGAGCATTTCACAAGGCTCCTGACTTTGCTGCTTTTCACTACCAAAAGGATAGAAATGCTTGGGCCCCCTTCCTAGCACCACAGCACCAGACAATATGTCCCTTCCACAATATACTTTGCAACATAAAGAGAGGTAGAAGAGAAGTCTCTGCTCTGTTTTCAGAATTTATAAAGACACTGGTTCCCAGACTTCATTCCTAACCTGAAGGGGGGAAATTAGAAAGTTGGCTTGTAGATCAGTACATGCAGCTTAGCACACATCATTTCCCTCATGCAGCATTCACATTTTTCAACAGGCTAGAGGAACTGTATCATTATCAAACACTAAATATAGCACTAAAATACATCAGGTATTGGAGGTTGAACTTGCCTTTCAAATCCTATGGAGTTTGGGATCAGTAACAAATGTTTTATGCAGTTTTAATAAGTCCATCCATCACTACAAGAGGCCAGTGTCTGCTGGCAGGTAGGAAGCAAAGCGAACATTTTCAAAGGCAGGATAATGATTTCTATATGCTTCTATATCTGAGTGCTCAAATACAACCCATGTCAGTGTCTCGGTTTCAAACAGTTCTGAGGCATCATCACATTTGCAATACACAGCTCAAAATGTTATCCATAGATGCACAAACACACCCCATTCCAATATTAATGCCAATAGTAACATTAGCTATACTTTTCACTTCTCTAGGTAAGAAACTTACATTACTGCAATAAAAATGCAAACTGTACAAATAAATGTACATAATTAAAGCATTAAGGCATGATCAAGGTTTTAGACACAAATAATAAAACCAGTGCAGGAAGACAACACAATAATTTGAACTGAGAGCTAGAAAGTTCAGCACAAGCAGCTATCTCTGGCTTACGTCCACAGCAGAACTGTCAATCCCAGAGAAGGATCTTTGGGCGACTGGAATACTGGAATTGTCATTTCAACTTCAGTCATGTTACTGGCAAGAAATGTGATCTAAAAACCAAAAGCCAGCAACGCACCATAGCTCTTCAAATAAAACAAACCTAAAGGAATCCTCTTTTAAACCTACAGTGTGCAATAACTGCCTGTAAGAATGTGATGCTTTGCATAGCCAACACATCTTCCAAACTGTGGCCTGATTCTTGAGATTGGACCCCTCTGCATCAGAAATGACTTCAGTAAAAGAAAGGTAATTAAAATACTCAGAGACATCTAACACCATACTCAAGCAAAGTTAGACTAGAACTAACTGAAGTTCAACATAGAAGCTCATGCACCCTATTGCCAAGCTTTTATCTTAAACCTTTTATGTGTTGACAAAAAGCCCTGCTTATGCAAAATCAATTCAGAATTTGGCTCCCAAAGCCTTGCCCTACCACTTGGCTATAGTTATTCAAGTTAAGTGTCTAGAAAGTTCACTGTACTTGTTACAGCCAGGAAGAAAAAAGACAGTGTGAGGAAGGAGAAAGTGACTTCTTGGGGCATTAGGTGCCTTCTCTGAACCCCCCCATTAGACAGCTGCTGCAATTCTTTCAGGGGTGCTGCAGAAGAACATGCTGGGTTTCAAATACTCCCTGCTTTATGGATTGTCCCTGTGACATGGTGGGACACTTGTTACATGCACTTCTGCAACTCCTGAAACTGAAAAATATCCATAGCTTGAACTGAGCATAAGATTTTCAAACTCCAGAGCACTGTGACTGCACAAACCAAACCAGCACATACAAGGAGTTACTCCTCATTAGTAAATAATACTTGTCAAAATCTCAGACCTGACTTCTAAGAAAACAGTGCTTTTGCACTTCCCTATTCTTTCTTTTCTGTTTCTTCCATTCAAGTGCTACAAATCACTAGCAAGTTAAGCACTGTTCAGAAAACCCAACTTCGACCATGTCCCAGAGAGCTGATGATTTAACCCATGGGTTTCAGAAGAGTTGCACTGATTCCCAAGAGAAAAAAGAGGTACCAGGCACCATGGTGAAGCTGTGAGCTTAGCCTGGATGGAGGGGCACGGTGCTTCCATTATGAATACCATGGAGGTAGAGGCACCCACAGGCTCACCCTCAAAGCAACTGTTCTAACAGATAGCCTTGCTAAACTGCAATCATCACTGACTGCCACTGAAATTGCCCCTTCATCTTCCAGGTGCAGTTATTTCCAACCAGGAGGCATGCTCTGCTTTTTGGCTTTGGTAAAAGTATCTGAAAGAGCAAATTCAATGGATTATTTAGGTAATGGCCAGATTCCAGCTGCTTCTATAGGCCTATAATAATGTGCTGGCATGCAGCATTCATGGGACAGGACCGGAAGTGGAAAGAAGTAATTCACAAGTGGACTGGGACAGCGATGTAATGGGAAAAGGACATGCTGTGATAAAAGTCCACACTGCCAGAGAGGGACTCTTCACCTGACATGGTGACCTAGGGACCCAATGCCCAACTGAAAGGCCGGTGCCATCAGTACTGCCAAATGTGAGTTTGTTACACCAGTGCCCTACCCAATCTCAGTAGGAATGAGAGTGAAAAGGACCCAAAACCACTTAGAATAACAGAATGGTTTGGGTTGGAAGTGACCTTAAGATCATCCAGTTCCAACCCCCTGCCATGTGCAGGGACACCTCACACTAGACCATGTTGCCCAATGCTCTGTCCAGACTGGCCTTGAACACTGCCAGGGATGGATCAAGAACATCAAGAATGAGGCAATGACTTCCATTTAATCTTTCTCTAAATGCTCCATTTATGAGTGACAGCTTAACCACTTGTTATCTCTGCACTTTTTTTGGTGGGGATCCAAACACATGTGACAGTGCTTTGCCTCCTGCAGTGATGTACCACTCCTAGCTTGCAGTGAGACAGGCCCCGAGTCAGTGTTAGCTTGCTGCGACCACAGTAGAAGGGAAGTGGTCTATAAACTCTTCAGCTTCCCACAGCCATCCCAGGGAGCCATGCAGACAGCTCCTTTTGGTATCCTGCAAACAGGGCCAGGGCTGCTCCCTCCACATTTGCAGCAGAGAGCTCTGTCCCTGCAGGTAATCCTCCACCTCTTGACATTGCCTTGGGACACTGAGAGGCAGAGGATCTGAGGAATCTGCCCTTGTTCTGCTCTTTAGTGATTGTTTTCACAGCAGATGAGATATACCCTTGTGCAATGATAAGGATGATAAGGGGGCTGGAGTACCTCCCATATGAAGACAGGCTGAGAAAGTTGGGGCTGTTCAGCCTGGAGAAGAGAAGGCTGCATGGAGACCTCAGAGCAGCCTTCCAGTATCTGAAGGGGGCCTACAGGGGTGCCAGAGAGGGACTCTTCATCAGACTGTAGTGACAAGACAAGAGGTAATGGGTTGAAACTGAAACTGAGGAAGCTCAGGTTAGAGATAAGAAACAAGTTCTTTACTGTGAGGGTGTGAAGCACTGGAAGAGGCTGCCCAGAGAACTGGTAAATGCTCCATCCGTGTCAGTGTTCAAGGCCAGACTGGACAGAGCCTTGGGAGACATGGTCTAGTGTGAGCCGTCCCTGCCCATGGAAAGGGGTTGGAACTAGATCATCTTAAGGATCTTTCCAACCCAAACCATTCTATGATTCTACGATAATATTCCTGTCCCATGAAACCCAGTAGGATGGTTTAACACATCAGTATAAGCAGAGTCCAAGCTTATAATTCCATTCTGATACCTCACACATGCTAAAATTACTCCATAATTCTACTACTGCTAAATATCAGGCTTACCATGAAGCACTTCAGCAACGTAACTTTACGCAAAACCAGAGCTTACCCTGAATCGAAAGAGCTATGCATCTTTTTTGATGGTTTAATCTTCATGACCCCTCTTTTCTGTAGAAGATTTCTGCTTTGGCTGACCAAAAAGAAGCCAGTTTACCCCAGCTGTTGTGGTCACTGTGCTGCTATGACTGTCACAGAACAAGTGAACCAAATTTTGGCAGGAAAAAATCGTGCTTAATTGAAACTAAGCCGATTAAACTCTCCAGATTAACACCCGCTTTTGAAAATACACATCTTGGCACATGAACAACAGTCTCTGCATCTGAAAGCAGCATCTGAATTTGCTGGTTGTGGGGAGAAAAATCTTCTTTCATCAACTGATGAATATTCATCACTACTGGTTGCACACTTACTGTCCTTTGCTGAGTTGACAGAAACAGCTCTGCTATCCTGTCAGCCTTGATTTGTTTTCTTTCTATCTATCAATGTTTATTGCTGAGATAGGGATGTATTAAAACGCTGAGAGGGAAGGCAAGGGGATTTGGCAAAGGGAGAAAATGGTTTCATGTTAAATGAAATATTCTGATTGAAATACATTGTGGTTGGTTAGTTTGGATTCTGACTACATCCCCATTTGAAATTCTCCATGGGCATCTTTTCAGCTCAGTCTCTTTAACATTTTACAAATAGCAATGAGGGCTATGGAAAGAACCTGTGGTTTGGTTTTCAGCGGATATTTTGATACTGGCACTACTTTCAAAATGGAAATGTAGTTCTGCAGGGTTTTTTAATATACTTTGTGGCCCAAGTCCTGCTCCAAGCAAAGCAGATGGGTGT